GCGATAGGCGCCCAATACCGCGTGCATCGTCCTACTGGCAATCTCAGGGCCTGCAGCCCAACGAACGCATCGGTCGACGATGCGAAAGACGATACGTCGTTTGTAGAACATCGCAACACACTCGACTTATTCGATGAATTTGCCAGGGGGACTTGTTGGAGGCATGACAGCATTACCTGGCTTCTCCCAGGCACTGCAGTCACAGCATGAGTCCACTTCTCCCTTCATCACGTTCTCGCACAACCTCATTTACAACACGCGACAGAATCGCACGCATCTTTGGTTCGGGAGCGCGATGCCAGCGTAAGTGGAGTTTTCGTGGCTCGTCTAGCAGGGTAGTCGGATCGTAACACTGCAGGTTTGGGAAACGTATCTGGGCGCAAAATCGCGACCAAACAGGTAGTCTCGCGCGCGGCCGCTCTTCCGCTGGAAGCGCGGGAGGAGGCGCAACCGCGCTGTTCTCTCGTCGCACACGACGCCCCGCGACACGCGGGGGGTCAGAAGAGCTGCCGGCCCCGGAGCCACTGCGCGCGCCTCTGGTCACATCGTAGCCGCCGGCGCCCACAGTTGGGCCCCGTGGATTTCCGCGCGCGGGGAGGTGCACGCGGCCGCCGCGGCCGTGCTTCCCCCCATGGTCTCCGTCGAGCTGGCGGTAGCTCTGCCGGCGCAGGTACCTCGGCGAAGAAGTCGTTTGGCGCCGCTGCTTGCACGGCAGCAGCAGGTGCAGGCGCCCCTCCACCGCTGCAGGCGCAGCCGGCGGGGCTTGTCCGCGGTTGCCCGCCAGTTGCCACGGCCGAGCAAATCTACGCATGCCTGGCGCGAGCAGGTGGCCCCGCATGTTTTTCCCATGGTCCTTTTGACAATTTGGACATACCCAGAAATAAAGCTCTTGATCACACTTCCGGCATTGACGCGGATTTCGGCTGTGACATGGCGAGTTCATTCGAGCGCTGTCGATGCAAGCTGGGCAACCACGTCCACCCGATGGCGGTCGCCTGATGGATTAATTCTCTTCCCGCGGCATAGCTGGATCATCGAGGTCGAACCCAGGACTGTTGTTTGCGCAATGCCTGTCGGCAAAAGGATCGTTGCCTCGTGCGCAACGGAGTTTTCCAATCTGGAGTGCATCCAGGATCGGCGAGTGCATCTATGGCGCGCGCTGGGCCGCCTGCGCCAATTCTCGGCTGCGCGCCTGGGCGCGTTCACGATTGCCAGAACATTTCTCGCGTTCAAATGGTTCTAAAATTGCATGATGATTGGCCATCATATCGATGGGTTTCTTGATGAGGGTACCGTAAATCGTGTAGCACTGTCGCGAACTGGCCCATCACTCGCGAGCAAGTGGCCGCGCGTTTGACCAGCGTCGCCCAGGGGGCAATCTCATCTACTCAGGTACCAAACGCTTGTTCCCCAAGAAGCACGCGTTGGAGGTCATCTTATAAAACGGCTATGCCCCCGCAGAAGGCGGCGTGGGAAAGGTCTGCCCCGCGGCGCTTGCACCATCTACCGCGGTTGATTTGGGAGTTAAACTACGATGGTAAGCCCGCGTTTCTGCAGTTGGGTTGTAATATAACTCCAGTGGCAAAGCACGCGTGCAGATAGTTCTCCACAGCTGGTTCCACTCGCGGGTTACCCAGGTCAACAGTGGAACGTTTATCAAGGTTAACTCCAGAGGAGAGCTGCAGATTGATAGCGATTCGCGATATGCCATTAGTGCACCCACACAGTTCTAACATATCTACGCAGTTGCTCTTTCGGCACGCGCGTCCGCAATGCCGCATGGTAGCGTTTAGAAGAGGCCGTCGTCGTCATCCGACGTCAGCTCCTCTATTATAATGTCAGAGAGCAGTGCGGCATCACCTAGGCCTTTGAAGTCATCGCTAAAGTCATCGCTGTCGTCTTCAACTTGCTCTGGTATATTTGTCGATGTGATGCCAATTTCCGGATCAACTTTTTGTTCTCTTATTGTTTTATCCGGCCATCAAGTGGCAATGCTGCTTGCACGTTTGGCGCGTCCACCGACATCGGAAAAGTCGGAATTTCAGGTGGGCCCCCGTCAGGGTGAATTTCACGCAGGCCCCTGTCAAGCCCCATCGAGAGGAGATGAAATCGGTCATCTTCGATGAACGCAACTCGTTTCTTGTGGTTTGGCGGTTGCCCGTGTCCGGGCAAAGCTGGTGGTGTTGAGTCCCAATGCAGTATCGCACGCATGTTGCGGACTCTGGGTGGCAACGGCGCTGTCCAGTTATATCCGGTCGGTTGGTCTTCGACCTCCACGATGTTCAACCATGTTCTTTTTGCCAAGATCAAGAGGAACACGTTGCATTACGTAATCCCAACACGGTCCGCCTTCGCTGGACTGTATATAGTTGCGCACATTCGTATCAGTGCGGGTACACACTTTTAAGTACACTTGCGCGGTGTCCTTGCTTGTGCGTTTACAAAGTTGGTCCACAAGCTGTTTGTCAGAAATGTAATTGTCTTGTTTTGCCAGGCGGCATGCTGCTGGTCGCGCCCACATCAGTCTAGCTGGTACTCATTAACATTCGCATACTTGCATATCCATAGTGATGTTGACATATTCGGGCAGAATATACATGTTTGTATGTTGGAGCCATTTGTCCTTGTATTGACACGATCGAACTTAATGTCGATATGGCACAGACGCATCTAGATCTCCCTAAATTTTAACATTTGGAGAGCCTGCTGTATCGGAGCTAGTTTCCAGAAGTATCCAAGTAGCCCCATCATGAGCATTTGCATCCTGAAACCACGTGCTTTAGCTAGGGGGTTACGTACTCTCTCACAGTGTGTCCCAGCCCGTTTGCCAGGCAATCTGACATACCAGTCAGCGGATGCGGCCGCCCAGAGCAATGCGTAGTCTCCAGAAAGTATGCCTCCCCGGTATTGTGTCCCCATCGATGTCATCATCTCATCATGAATAATACGGTCGCGCGTATACCCTCGACGGCGTAATTCGGCGATAGCCGCGCGCATATCCTCTATCACCAATGCTTTGGAGCGATAAGACTCAACGTTTGTTATTGGGAGTGTGTCCACTGTGTCCACGCTGTCCGTGCCTCGTAATGGCCCCCATCTGGGGTAGCGTGCCGCGTCCGTGCCCCTGGCCCCCCTGGCCATCGAGCGTGCCGCGTCCGTGCCTGTCCGGACGCGTGCCGCAGTTGTGAGCATCGTCTTCGGTGGAGCCCCCCATGGGGCCAAGAACCGTAAGAGGGGTGTGCCAGAAGTGGTGCGGGGGACGCATGCGAGCAGTGCCACTGGGGCCATCGGTGGAGCTCCGTGTGGGACCACGAAAGGCGTGAGAAGTGTGACGGAAAGGGCGCGGGGGACGCATGCAAGAAACGCCGCTGGGGCCTTCCGTGGAGCTCCCTATGGGGCCACGACACATGTGAGGAGTGTACCAAAATTGGCGCGGGGGACACATGCGAGCAGCGCCGCTGGAGCCTCCCGTGTAGATCCCTTGTGAATCCACGAAGCGTGTGAAAGGGTGTGCCGAAAAAGGCGCGGGGGACGCATGCGAGAGACGCTGCTGGGGCCTTCGGTGGAGCTCCCTATGAGGCCACGAAGCGTGCGAGGGGTGTGCCGAAATAGGCGCGGGGGTCGCATGCGTTTTGGTGGAGCTCACTATGAAACCACACAACGCGTGAAGGGTGTACCCAAATGGGCGCGGGGGGGCGCATGCGAGAAACGCCAGTGGGGCCTTCCGTGAGCTGCTGACCAGAAGTGCGCGAGGGGCGTGCCGAAATGGGCGCGGGGGGCGCATGCGAAAAACGCTAGTGGAGTCTTCGGTGGAGCTCTATACGAGGCCACGAAACGTGTGAGGGGTGTGCCGACATGGGCGCGGGGGACGCATGCGAGCACTGCCACTGAGGCCTTTGGTGGAGCTCCCTGCCACGAAGCGTGCGAGGCATGCGCCGCAATGGACATGCGGAGGGCAGAGGCAGGGATGGGACGAGGGAGGGGGCAGCGGGAGGGACGGAAGGAAGGAAGGAGATGAGGGGCGCTGGCTCCTCAAAACGAGGACCCGACAAGACAGGATGGTTGGGAAAAATTCGATTCGGATAATTTTTCAGAGCTCCGCGCGGATTCCTTGGATCGGCGTCGACCCCCTTCCCTGGCGCGCGGAGCGCGCCAGGCCCGCCGCTGGAGGCGCAGCGCCGATGCAAGAGAAATCCGCTCGGAGCTCCAAAAAAATAATTACGGCTATGCACTGTTTGCTGGGCGTCGAAAAGATCACCGAATGAGCCACCTGCTGGTCGGCAGGTGCGGAAGGTGGAGAGTCGGGGCTACGTGAATTCGAAACTACGTGTTTCCGACAGGGAGCCCTCCCTTCGCGAGAGGGAGCTCGGAGGCGCGCCCCGACCAAAAAATTGCTTGAGCGCGCCCGTCTCTCTCGCGAGCCTTCCCCGTGAAACCTTAGTGAAACCTTACCTTCTAAGAGCGCTGCTCACCGAAGTGCCAAGTCACAACAGGAGGAGAGGGGACGAGGCGGCGGCGCCGAGCGGCAGCAGCGGGTGCTCGGCCAGCGGGCGGGCAGCGAGCGCAGCGGCACGTGCTCGCCCTGGCCGAGTGCCCCGGGGGTCCCCTCGGACTCGGGATGCCCGAGCCGCAGGGAGGCGAGGAGGAGGAGGAGGAGGAGGAGGAGGAAGAGGAGAGCGAGGAGGAGGAGGAGGAGGAGGAGGAGGAGGAGCAGGGCAGGGAGGAAGGCGACGAGGAGGAGGAGGAGGAGAAGTAGGAGGAGGAGGAGGAGGAGGGCGACGAGGAGGAGGAGGAGGAGGAGGAGGAGGGCGATGAGGCGGAGGAAGGCGAGGAGGAAGAAAAGGAGGAGGAGGAGCAGGAGGAGGAGGAGGGCGAGGAGGATGATTTGCTACTGGACTATAAGCCCCCCCCTGACGTTGTCGCCCCCGACGGCCGCAGCGGCGCGCGTCCCAGCGCCCGATGCTGGCCCTCGCGGGTGAGCCCGCGCGAGAGGTGGGCGCTCCTCGCAGCTCCAGGTGCCGTCCGTGTCCTTGCCGTTCATCTCCCTGGGCCCGGAGGGGGGAGGGGGAGGAGGAGGAACAGGAGCAGGAGGAGGAGGAGGAGGAGGAACAGGAGGAGGAGGAGGAGGAAGAGGACAAGGAAAAGGGGGAGGAGGAAGAGAGGAGAAGGAGGAGGAGAAGGAGGAGCGCGAGGAGGAGGAGGAGGAGGAGGAAGAGGAGGAGGAAGAGGAGAGGAGGAGAAGGCGGAGGAGTCGGTCGCGGAGGAGGCGTAGGAGGCGGAGGAGGCGGAAAAGGAGGAGGAGGAGGAGGAAGAGGAGGAGGAGGATGAGGAGGAGGACGGGGGGATGATGATGATGAGGAGGAGGAGGAGGAGGAAGAGGAGGAGGAAGAGGGGGAGGAGGAGGAGGGGCAGGAGGAGGAGGAAGTGGAGGAGGCGGAGGAGGAGGATGAGGAGGAGGCGAGGGAGGAGGAGGAGGAGGAGGAGGAGGAGGAGGAGGAGGAGAAGGAGGAGGAGGAGGAGCGAGAGAAGGAAGAGGAGGAGGAGGACTGAGAATATGTAACATTTCCAGCCTCCCGGCGCAATGCAGTTAGATGCAGATATAGAGGGGGAACGCAGAGAGCAGGTTTGGTTGCTTGACCGTCGACATTCGGGCCCAAGCTTGAAAATTCGAATTTGGTTGCCGAGCTGGTTGATCCAGCTCCACCCGCTATCGCCTCCTCAGCAGGAGGCAGCGCGCGCGCTGACAGTGACAAGGACGCGCCCGCCGACCCAGCGGCATCTTTCTCCCTCGCTCAGTAACAGCAATCATTGTACCTGAAAAATCAAGACGGCGACGAGCTCGCCCAAGACACGAACTTCCACGCGCAGATCGAGACCGACCATCACATGTCCGAGCACACCGGTATCCCGCTTGATGCGTACACGAAAGGCACACCGCCAGGATGGAAGCAGGCCCTCATGAAATATCCTTTCAGACAATGTCTGGAGCGTCTCATATTGTGGTATCGTATGACCGACGACCGACCTGAATGCCGATCGAGTTGGACCAGCAGTAACAGGCAGACTCCAGGGACGACCTTACAGCATGGCTCTTGGTCTACAGATCACAACACAGTCAGGAGCCAACATCCAGGGCGATGCGGCGCTCGCTTACCCTGGAGGGCAGCAGCAGTTGGATGGTCACGGCAACAATCTTGTTCCAGCTACTGAGAATGGCATTCAGGTTCAGATACGGGTTCTCTCTCGAAGATACGGAGCCGACAACCAGCAGATGGCGACGGGCACGATTGACCAGTTCTATGATCTCAGACGTGGCAGGCTTTCCCTTCTCGAATACATGGCAGAGTTTAAACACACATACGAGGAAGCGGATCGCCTCGGCAACCTCCATCTCAACAGCGCTGCCCACAGCCATCAGCTTCTTAAGCACTCCAGGCTCGAGAAGTCCAAGTTGGATTACATCTTGCTCCTAGTCAACGGAGACCTCGACCGCCACGATGGCATCACAGATGACCTCATGCGCCTGGCCAAGAGCCAGACCCCTGCACAGATCAATACAGTCGGCGGCTACATGGCAGCCGGCACCGACCTCTGGGACGACAGCAGATGGTGTGGCGACGGCTGGGACGACGATGGCTGGCGCGATGGTTCTTGGCAGGATGATTCTTGGGACCACAGCATCTGGTTTGGCGATGCTTGGCATGATGACGGCTAGCAAGACGACTCTTGGTTTGACAACAGCTGGACCAGCGACGATCAGCAAAGCACTGATAAGTCACTTCAAGAAGGCAGCGCTCCAGCATCACGACCAGCCGCACCATCCTCGGCAGGAACCGCACTCGATCTCGAGACACTTCCCTCCGACGTCGATTTCGGCATGAGAGGCCGCGGCAAAGGTAAGTTCCGTAGCCCAAGCAAGGGCAAGTCATCCAGCAGAGGCACGAAAGGCAGGAGCAGCGGCGGCGGTCGCTCAAACAGGACGGGCCGCGGTCGCCGCGGCAGCCCCACCACTGACGACTGCCCCTGGAGCCACGGCCAAAGCGAAGGCAAGACAGGCAGCAGAGGGCAAGAATGGAGGGGCCCAAGGACACACTAACAAATACACACAAATAACATGATTCCCCATATTTTCCCATGTTTTCTGGGTTTCTCTCTTCCCGCCCAGTTCCCACATCTTCCCATATTTTCCTGGGAGTCGACGATTGATTGTGTCTGTGTGTTTTTTCCCTCCTGAAAGAAGGGTCGCCCAGGCTCCCGCGGCGGAAAGAAGGGACGCAAGAGAAGCAAGGGCCACTATGCCGAAGCAGACCCCTGGAGCCACGGCTCCGATCCACGGACCACTGGCCTGAAGGCTGGCAGCAGTTGCTGGTGGACTGGTCTACTAAGGCGTTCTCGTCCCAGGAGCTGCCAGCGACCCAGTCTAGACGTTGGAGCACGTCGACGCCAGTCCCCAGGTCTCCTCCTCCGAAGCCCCATAGCAGCTGAGCAAGCTTTCACCTCAGAAGTAGTTAATCTCCTGAAGGGCCGATCACCATCGACACGGACGGCATCACCCTAGCCTCCTCGGCGCCAGGGCAGCCTGCGCCAGCGGCGGAGGCCCTTTCAGCAGCGCCTCAGACACCTCAGTCGCTGGACATCTACCTCAACGCATGCGACCTCGGACCCGAGCCAGAGACCCCAGCATCTGGGGCCCTCGGACCTGGCAGACATTCCCCGAATTATCAGAAATAAGACGTCAGATGAGGACCTACGGCTTACGATCGACGCATTCGATCTCTCTCCGCGAACGCCGGTTCCGCGCCATCGAGTCAGGCAGCTCAGATCCTCGCTGCCACCACAGAACACGATCGATTATGCATACTCTCCCCAGGCCTCGGCACGGCCGTAGAGACATCGGCAGCCAACGTGACCTGGACCTCCCCAACCCACTCATCATCGCAGCGGCCGCACCGACATCAGCGAGCTGGAGAAGACCCTCCGGACCAATGACGGGAGCGGCGCCGAGCTCTCAGAACACGTGACCAGTGAACCTCACTAGAAGCCAGTTCCTGACGTCGAAGGAGATGATGAGGACTTTGGAGATCTGATCGACGACAAGGAATTCTTTCGGATAGAGGACAAGCCATCCTCCTCGACGTTTCCACGCGTAGCTTCGGGCCCCTTCAATCAGGGAACCAGCTTCAACTTTCACGCCGCCACGAGCCGAAAGGTCCGGGGCATGATCTTCGACCCTGGTGCTGCTGAGGAACTTGCCGGTACACTGACACTATTGGAATATGCACAAAGAATGCGCTGGCCAAATGGGCTTGACTATGCAGCGATACCACCGACAGGGAACACGTCGTTTTCAGGCATAGATGGGACTCCCATGAGGAGTCAGATGGCAGCTCGTGCGCCTATCATCACGAACACCGAGCCAGCGACGATCGGTTGCAACGGCGACCGACGCCCATTCCTCTTTCCGAATTAAACCGCTGTCAGGCGAAAAATCACGGCCATGTTCGGCTACTTCGACAACCTCGACGGGCCGCTTATCACTCCTGATCTGGAGGATGGAAGGACGCACGTTGCTGATGGAGTCGGGACACTACCCCATGCCCATTGATCACGGTGTCAAGAACAAAAAGTGCGCGCGGCAGCCCTTCAGCGAGCACGCCTCCATCGGCCTCGTGGCTTCCCGGGCAGCTCTCGTAGCAGTCGGCAGCCCGCGGCCGAGCACCACTGGAACACCATTCACAACACGCAGTTCGAGCCATCGCGAAGACGCTGCGGGACCTATGATAGTTTCCGACAAGAAGGCAAACGTTGAACCGCCACAAGGACCCTCACCTGACAACGGTTATCCTAAGGCACAGATTCAGCGCGAGGCTGAACTTCACGAGGTCAACGAGGACGACCAAGACTTCCTACCTGACAAGCGTCTCCACGACGTTGAGGCGTGCGAAATGCGGACACATTGAGAGCAATTCGACCATCATGCCGTGTGTCCGCTATCGTATTCCAGTCTGTCCGCGCTGTCGCAGTGACCTTGGCTGCCGCAACTGCGGGCCTCTTCGGGCATTGGCTTCGACGCGGCCCGAGCTCCAGGACCTGACCGACGACAACGATATATTCCACGGCACCTTGCCCTCGAAGATCACTGACGAGTTCATCGTGCCCGTGGAGATCGATGGCGGCATGCTGCGCGACTGGGGCAATTCCCATTATCCCGACTGCCACTGCTGGACTCGCACCTCGAACGCGATGAACCCAGACAGAAAACAGACCACGCAACGAGAGCAGCGGTCCACTCTCACGTGGCTGCGCGGTCAACCAGAGAAACTCGAACACCACGGCGGCGCCCACATCATCGAGGACCCGCACAGCAGCAATATCTGGAAGAAGTCCCTTCTCAGCAGCCTAAAGACCAGCGAGCGTTGCGGCTATCAGCGCGGTTTCGGTTGCGCCCTGCCCAGCGCGAAGGAACTGACCGAGAAACCCACTGGCTGGCTCAGCAATCTCAGGCTACGTCGCACACTGCGGTTCTGCACCTGTCCGCCAGGCAACCATGGCACGCTGCAGTTCATGTGTCCGGAGACTGGCCTCTGGAACACTGCTCCCGCCATGGTGTATCCTCGCCGGCTGCGCACTGCCATCCTGGACGACGTCGTCAAGGAGATGCCCTCAGTCTCGCACGCTCACGCTCTGGTGGGCGTGCAAGCGGCGTCAGCGCGGCAGGAAGTTTGACGGAACCTCAACCGCGCGGCCCCGGCTGCCGCTTTGACAACAAGGACTGGCCCGCCGCGAGGCCGCCAAGGCAGCTCCAGCGACCAAGGCAGCTCCAGCAGCCAAGGCGGCAACCCGCGGACCCACGGACGCAAGGAGGAGACTCTCGGGCAAGCCCCCGACCCGACGGCGGACCTCCTGCTGACGGCCCTTCAGACGACGAGCCAGGAGATGTGGAAGATGACGAGGCCAACGATCCTGATGACCAGAAGCGATCCCCTCACCTCCGCACATGTCCTAAAGGCGACGAGCGGTGCCTCGTGGATCGCAAGATCTACGC